CTCCTCCTGCTCCTCCTCCTCCTCTTCCTCCTCTTTCTGCTCCTCCTCCTGCTCCTGCTCCTCCTCTTCCTCCTCCTCCTGCTCCTTCGCTGTTGTCATCTCCTTCATCTTTTAAATCACATTTGACATCTGGCCACTCTTTTCAGACAGATCAGTTTAAAAACTACACAGCAGTTCGGCTTCCATTCCACCGGACATCTCTTTTCTTCACATAGAAGGCCACCTCAAAATACCTTCAGTATAGCAAGAGCTATCATTTTAAGAGCGTGGGAAAATGGTCAAAGGAGAAGAACAGCATCATTGCCTGGAAAGGAATGAAAAGGTGAAATAATTCAGATGACAGTTCCTTATCAGTGTTTTCTGAGTGGCCCTGAACTCCAAAAAATGGCCCTGTAGTGCACACATGTGACCAAGAGAGGGGACGGAGCCACTGAAGGCCAAGGTCGGGCTTAGTGAGCAGAGGGGCAGGGTCGGGCTTAGCGAGCAGGGGTGGTCTCCTGGACTGAAGAATTGTTAGAAATAAGGATCCGGGAAATGCTGAGGCTCACCAGCAGCAGCCAAACCACGGGAAGCTGTTCCCGGGTTCATAGAAACGCCCCTAAAACAGTGTGTCTCAAAGTGGGCATTACCACAGGAGGGCGCTGGAAGGACCCAGGGGGCTGCGGGACCAGACCCCTGCACTTTGTGAGCTGTAGTAGTATGGAAGTCTTGAATTGCTGGGGGGTGGGGCGGGGTGGGCACAGGGGAACTTTATTTCTAAAAAGGGAGCAGGAGGCCAAATCATTTTGAGAAGTGAATGGAGTGTCTCTCGCTCGCTCGCTGCCGTGGAGTTGATGCCGATGCAGAGTGACCCTGGAGGGCTGGGTAGAGCTGCCTCCGTGAGTTTCTGAGACCAATTCCTTTTGGAAGGCGAAAGCCTCGTCTTTCTCCCGAGGAGCTGCTGGTAGTGTCGAACGGCTGACCTTGCAGTCAGCAGCCCAACTTGTAACCATGACGCCGGCAGGGCTCCTGGTTATTGACTAGACTCATAAAACAGCTACACTTGAAATAGGAAAAGATGATCTCGTAGTGTACAAAGAGCTACAGTAACTGAAGCACTTGTGACTGAAAATATCCACTCCTTCAACAAATGCTGAGTTGGCTTTGTGCACCAGGTACTGTTTTTGGTGTTGGGGGGCCCAATAAGCGAGGTAGGCATGACCCTAATTGCATTAACTTGTGGCGAACACAAGTAAGCACAATTAAGCCCGTGCATACAAACCGGGCATAGGATGCTTACTGGTTACTCCCTCCCCGGCTGGGGCTACCCCGGTGAACAAAGCAGGTCAGTTGCTGCTCTCAGAGACTGGACATGTACTACAGACACGTGTGCAGCTGAAAAAGGATGATTTCTGATCAGGATAAGCCAGCCTATTCGGGATACGCCAGCCCTTTAAAATGCTACTACAGAAAAAAGAAGTTAATACATTGAACCCTAGAGAGTTGGGACTTGATCCAGACGGAATGAAACCTGTGTGAGAATGATGGGTCAACTCTTTGCCACTGACGCCTGTGATAGTAAAGTAGTGGAAGGAAGTTTGTGAGACCTGGGGAGACCAGGAGGTCCCATGTCCTTTCTGCTCTCAGAGGTGCTGCAAGGGTGATTTTGTATATCCATTTAACCATGGGGTACGTCTGCAGAGCACCCTCTGGGAATGCGCATCCCCTGCCCCTGACCTGGACCAGCAAGGAAATGAAAGCACAGAGAGGGAAAGTGAGCTACCCAAGGTCACACAGCTGGCTCATAGCAGAAATGGTTCTGGAACCTCTAGCCGCCCATCTTCTTCCTACCGTGGCCCAGCAGACAGGAGGCTTCCTGGGACCTCGGATGTATGTGCTGGCTGGGTGCTGGGGACACAGGTGCAGGGAGGACACCGGGGCAAGGGTCAGGGGTGGTGAAAGTCAGGCCTTGCGGAGAGAAACTTCCCCACCCTCCCTCTTGGGTGGTAGAGGTGCCTGCAGCGAGCTGGGGAGCTGATGGAGACCTTGGGAGTGTGCCCAGGCTGCCAGCAGCTTCGACGCTGTGTCCAGTTACGTCTGCAGCCAGCCTGGCCCTCTCCTCCTTCCCCCAAACCACAGGCAGATGAACAAGAAAGAAGCTGCGGGGGCCAAGTCCTCACCAGAGCCCGCCCAGGCGGTCCGCGCCCACTGGGATGATGCGGCCGTAAATCGCCCGAGGACCCCAGACCCCAGGACCATCCCACAGGCTTCCTTTCCACTTCCTAATCCTCCTCCTCAGACTCCGTAACAGAAAGCAGATTCCTGCTGGGGCCAGCCACGCACAGTGAGCTCTGAGAATGTGAGCCTGGGATTGACCACATCAAGACACTGCCTCCTCTCACTCCCCCCCCCCCCCCGGAGCCACCCTGAGCAGGAGAAAACTCCCCTCTGCTGGCCCAGTTCCCCAACCCCCCGGCCTCCTCATCCCCTTCCCTCCCCCCCTCCTCCCCCCCCCCCCCCCCCCCCCCCCTCGGAGCCACCCTGAGCAGGAGAAAACTCCCCTCTGCTGGCCCAGTTCCCCAACCCCCAGGCCTCCTCAGACCCCTCTCCTGCCTCACACCTGGCTGGCGGCCCGGAGCCGCCTGGGGCCTGGGGCCTTAGGATGCTCACCAGGGTCCGTGGCTGCCAGGCCCGCCAAGCTTGCGGTTTGGCTGCGACCTGGCTCCCCAAGCCTCCTTTCAGCAAGAGCAACCTCTGTGAGGTAGAATAAACGCTGATCTGGGTTCAAGGGCTGCCACTGCCAGCCCCTGGCCCTTCCTCCTCGGGCCTGTGACTGCTCACCTGGAGGAGGTAGAGGGTGAGGAAGCCCCCTGGCATGTGGCCGGAGCCTGGCAGATGTTTGCCTTTTATTTGTTTATTTATTTTAAAAGCGCTTAGCTGTTGGCTCAGGTTGGTTGCAAGAATCAAAAGAAGAGGGGGTGGCGGTGTTGGACCTGCTCGATCAGGCGTGTGCTGTACCAGGTTAAGGGACTGTTTGAAACTCTGGAGCACAGCTCTGCTGCTCTGACTCGTGGGCGGTCGTGGTGTTTGATGTATTTACTGCTTTTTTTAGCCATTCTGGATGGAACCGACCCCATGGTAACAGTTTGGGGTTGGAGAGATGTGGGGCCCACTTTCCCTAGAGGGCTAAAGCCCCCACAGCCCCCTTGACCCTCCTCGATCTCCTGTCCCCAAGTCTCATCCGCTGGGGGTTTTCTGAAGAGCCACACCAAGTCCTGCTGCCACAGTGGCGAGTCCCCAGTGGGTGTAGCCCGAGGTCCTGCCCGCCACTCCTCAGACCTGCCCTAAATCCAGAGAATGGATTAGGACTCCTCTGTGTGTCCTGCCCATCTCACTGCTTCAAGTGGACCGGAATCACCTTGACCAGCTTTCCAGATTAGGGATCCACAGGCCAGACCTCGAGTTCATGGCTTAGAGAGAATGAGAAAAGTATTTACCGGCTCCTGTCTCACATTCGACAGAGGAGGGTGCGAGGCCCAGAGAAACAGTGATGGCTCAGGCCAGGCCGCTGGTGGGTGGATGGCTTGCTGGCCCTGAGAGCCGGTCTCTGGATTGTGATCCAGGGCTCTTGTCTGGGCCATGGGAGGGAAAGAGAGACACGGACAAGCTGCTCCTGTGGGGGCCGGCCAGCCAACCCGGGGCCCACTTAGCTGCTGGTGGTGGTGGTTCTGATCAGATCCCTCAGTGTTGTGCACAAGAACAAGGAATCCCAGAGCTTCTGCCCCCTCTGCCCTGCCCATTCCTCCAAACCAACAGATCCAGCACGCCACTCGAATGCAGCGGTGGGAGCGATGGGAATAGCTTAGGCTCCAAGGCCTGGTGCGGCCGCTTACTTAACCCCTCGACCCGCAGCCTCCTGCCTGGACCCTAAGGGACCCTTTGGGGGCTCCTGGGAGGTTAAAATGAGGGGCGGTTGGCTACGGGGTGCTGGCACCCAGTCCAGGTAGACCCTCCTCACACTGGAATTGTGACCAGTCTGGCTGCTTCTGACGATTGGCCATTTCTTTTAGGAGTGACCGCCTCGAAGAACCAGACCAAGGACGCTGCCACCAGCCTCTTCAGGACTGAAGGAGACAGTGTGTGCCCGCCAAGTCCAGCCTCAACTCCTTCTGCAAGCTGCCCCCAGACGCTCAGACCACTGCCCCTTGGGCTTGAAGAGAGCCCTTGCCTCCCACCCCTCCTCCGAGGCCCGCTGTGGGCCGCCGAAAGTCACTGCCAAAGATTTCACAGAGCCTGTACACGGCGGGTGACAAAGCCCCCAGACAGAAACCGCACGGATCTTCTATCCCTTTTGCTCCCTGACTTGCCTGAGTCCCATCTCAAGCCAAAGACACACCAGCAATTCCATTCGGACCACATGGGAGGGAGGGCATTCAGTGGCGATTGGAAGCATGATCTCGGACCCAGCTCTCTCGCATTCTCTCTCTGGGCCCTTGCGTTGGTCCAATGGGCTGGGTGCAGGGCGAGCCTTCTCTGGGCTGGAGTGGGAGGCTCGGGAACCACTGGTGGGTAGGGATAGGTTCTGAGTCTCTACTCTCCCACCCCCCGGGTGCCCCAGCCTTCTGATCCTGATTCTCCAGCTTGTCTGGGTCCAGGATGCCACTGGGACCCTGAGCACCGTGGGAAGGACGTCTGGGAGAAGAAGCCATGTTGACTCCCTGTTCCCCACCCCAGGGACTTGCTCTAAGAAGACTTGCCTAAGGACTTTGCTTCCCCAGCCAGCTCCTCCTCACCAGTGCCCTCTGGGCCCTGCAAACACGGTGGTGCCCTCCTTGGAAGCCAGAGGCCCCATAGGCTGTGCCGGGGGGCAGAGGGAGGAAGGGACCAGGGGAATGGGCCAGTGTGTGTGTGTAGGGCGGTGGGGGGGGGACATGTTCAAGGCCAAGGCCTGCTCCTTCCCTGTGTTCGAAAGGCCAAAGCTGTCCTCATCTGTGCTCAGCCATCTGCTTCAAATTGAAGTAAAAGCCCTTACGTGTCAAGACAATCCTCCTTGCGTTGAGTGAGTCTGTGGGGGCGTGGCCTCTGCCCGGATTTGTGAATAGGGGTGTGGTCGGAAACACTTCCTACCTCATGGAATCTTTGTCACGCGTTTCCATGGTAGGTATGGTGTTATCAACCCCATTTCATAGGTGAGGAACCGGAGGTCCTAGGAGATAGCGCTAGTCAGTGGCAGAGCCATATTTAAATCATGGTAGCCTCACTCTCGCTCACCCCTTCCCAGCATGGGGGCCCAGAAGTAAGAAAAGGCTGCTAGGGCAGGAGGGCTGCAGGATGCCCCAGGAGCAGACGGACACGCAGCTTGCCCTTGACTGTGACTTGATGTTGCCCTCTCTCTTCTCTGTTCTGCAGCCGCTCGGTGTGAGGAGCAGGGGCTGGGGCTGGAGTGTGTGCGGGCAGAGCTGGCTAAGAGCCGTCTTCACGGCCTTCTGGTGCCTGGGTTGGCCCCGGTTCCTTGGTCTGGGAAGGAATCGGGGCATCTCACGGGGAAATTGCTTGGGCAGCAGCCAGACAGAGCGGCACGGGATGGGAATAAGGGGGGCCACGTAGAAGGGTCGGTCACCGGGGGGCCCCAGGCACAGGCCTCGCCCCACTCAGCTGTCCCTCTGAACCTCTGAGGAATCCGGTGGCGCCCCCTTGGGACACATGGGCCAACCGGCATCAAACTTGTGCCCGGGTAAAGACCTTTTCTATGAAACCCCACCGCTGCCAGGAGAGCAGGCCCACCCTCATCACCTGGAAGCAATCGAGCTCTATTCCCCAGCGCCACTCCTGGGCCTCCATGGCACGACCTTGCCACCAGCTGACCCCCAGGGGCGTATGGACCCCCAGCGAAGCTCTGGGAACAGGGGAGAGATGAACCCGACGGTGGGTGTGTCTTTATGCAGCTCATGATTCTCTCCAGGGGGACAGACGGACAAGCAGATAATTAGGGTACAGCTAGATTATTAAGGGGAGAGGGTTGGGAGTTTCAGAACAGAAGAAACTCTCTGTGGGCAGTTGGGCAAGTCTCTGGGAAGGGGGTTACGTCGGTTGGGTCTTGAGGGATGAATAGAAGTTTCTCAGCAAAGCAATGGGGGCAAGAAAGGCTTTCTGGGCAGGCTTCTCAGTGGTAGCAGCACAGGGGGTGAACTGAGGAGACGGTGAAATAGAGGTGAAGTATTCATGCTGTCTCCAGAGATCTTGAGGGGTTGGTATGGAGTGTGACCTGGACCGTGGGTTGTTTTTCGTTTTGTTTTTTTAAAAAAAGCTCCTCAAGGGATTCTAATGTGCTGGCAAAGCAGAGACCCTCGGCTACCAGCAGACCCAGGTCTCTGGGGAAAAAGGATGTCGAAACCACTGTCAATGGGTCACAGGCCATACTTGGTTAGCAGAAAATGTGCCTGGGACACACGTGCAGGCACCCACATGCACGAATGTCTGTCAAAGACTTGCTGCTGATAAGTCAGTTCCAAATCATAGCAATCTCCCGGGACAGAGGCCTCATGGGGTTTCCACGGTTAGAAACCTTGACAGAAGCCGACTGGAAGCTGGCGGGTTTAACTGGCGGCCAGACACTGTAAGCACAGTTCCCAGGGCTCCTCGTACGTTTGTGCACATTCGTGATGCAAAGCCCCTGCATCTCCTCTCCTCGCCCAGTGTCCTCGACCACACAGCCATTGGTGTTTCTCTCTGTGTGTGCACGTATGCGCTCCTCACGCGTGCACATGTGCATACCCGACACCCATGCGCTCTCAGGGGAACCCCATGTTTCAGATCGAGCCATGTGTTATGGGCAGTCTTCTGAGCAGTTGCATGTAGTCAGCTGTGCTAGCAGACCCACGTGGAAATAGCCATGGCTGAGACAGCGTCTCCAGCACAGCCAAGGGTTTGGTTACAGGGCTGGCTGCAGGTGGCTTGCCGCACACTGCTCCTGAGCCACCGTGTGCACGGGGCCTGGCCCTGGCAAAGAGAGGGCCCTCTCCAGGGGCCCCTGGGACCTGCCCGAGTATGTCCACCTGAGAGGTCCAGGGTGCACGGCTGGGTCCTGCAGTGTGCAGGCGTCCTGCTTCCTGCGGGAAAAGATCGCGGGACTGAGCTTGATGAGACCCATCAAGAACTTCGCTCCAGCTGCACACTGCTTCCTGGCCACAGACAGGCCCCCCCCCCCCTTCTGTTCCAGGGAGGGGAATTGGAGGTCCCTGTGGCACCTTCTAGCTCGAGCTGGGCCATTTTCCCACACTTTCCTTGGGGACCTCCTCCCGCCCCTTCACCATCTCAACACATACTTTAAGGCCTCGGGCTGTCTTATTTCTCCTCCCCCTTCTCCCTTCCCTTTCTCTTAGCCCAGTGGGCATAAGTGGGCCGGACTCTGGAACCTGAGGTTCAGACAGCCTCTCTTCTAGTTGTTGGGGTTAGGGCTAGGCAGTCAGTTCTGACCCATAGTGACCTGACCTATGCACAAGAGGGTGAGACACTGCCCGGTCCCGCACCCGGCCCTCACTTGCCGCTCCCATGCTGCTGCCTGAGCAGTGAAGTGGACATTGCCAGCAGCCCGGGCTCTGAATGAGCTTGGCCGGTTGGAAGCAGGCCTCTGCCCTCTCCAAGGGTTTCCTTCCAGGGGGGTTTGCAGGCCCCTCCAACATAGCTGCTTTCTGCCCCCAGCTCCCTGAGAAGAGGGCGGCACAGAGGGGCCTCACCATCACCCATTGCCCTTAGGGTGTCCTTCTTCCCAACACCTCCCTTCTGGTTTCTGCCCCTCCACTGCACTGCACTGCACCCCAAGTAAGCCATGTCTGCCCTCCGGAGGTGAGGGACCCCCCGGGAATGCAGACACACAGCTATGCCCAAACCCACTGCCATCGAGTCCATCCTACTGATCGCGCCTCCATAGGACAGAATAGACAGAACCGTGCCTCTGGGCTTTCGAAGCCGCCAGTCTTCACGGGATAGCCTCATTTCCCTCCTGTGGAGGGGCTGGTGTGTTTGAACTGCTGACCTTGTTGCTTAGCAGCCTAACCACCACCAAGTCTCCTTCCTCAAAAACAAAGAACACTCCCCAGCTCGCTGCCATCAAGTCCATTTTGATTGGGAGCAGCCCCACAGGACAGAGTACAACTGCCCGTGGGCTTCCGAGACAGCAGCTCCTTCTACCCGGAGAGGCTGGTGGGTTTGAACTGCTGGCCTTGTGGTTAGCAGCCCAATGAGTAATCACCTCGCCACCCGGGCTCTTCAGGCCCTTTTGTAATTACAACAGCCTTGTTTTACAGCTTTGAGCACGTGTTGACGCTCCAGATGGCACTGCCAATTGCTAGAGGGTAGAGATTGGATCTAATTGACCTCCCGGTTCTCCAGAGGGTCTGACAAAGTCTACATATTGATTCATTCTTGAATGAAAAACAGGGAAACTGTAATAATCCACTCACATTCCTTTCTTCCACAAATAGCTCTCAAAGCATCCAATTTGTTCAAGGCCCTGAGAGTACAGGACACAGGCCGGGGTCCCTTAACTAGGTCCCAGGGAGCCTCAAAGCAGGAAGGGGCACGATCGCAGAGTGGGGCCCGGCCTCCAAGTGCTTTGCTTGACCTAAGGCCAAGTCTTCTGGAACTGGGCTCCTGCACAGAGCGTGGCTTCGTGGCATGGTGCCTGGCACCCAGTGGGTGCTGAGTGGGCATGGGTTGGTGAACTTGGGCTGCCATATCTGCTCCCGCCGATGCCGGACACCACTGATCCATGGTGGCTCTTCTCACAGGCTCTTAGAGTCTCTCTGATACTGTGACTCCAGCTGGTCCCTCTGTTGCCTCAGCGCCACCTATGACACCCGGCGTCCCTGTGTGTCTCATCGCTCTAGTGGGTGGTTTGGGAAGTAGATCTCCAGACTGAGCTTCCAAAGCCCTTCTGGGCGGGCCTGAACCTCCAACCTCTTGGTGAACAGTAGAGCACATTGGCCGCTGGCCCCACCCAGGGACTTCCCAGGGAGCCTTCAGCATCAGTTACAGCAACGAACACTCTTTGCCTAGCTGGAGTTCAGTTACCGTGTGGATGCTCTCAGGCTGGCTCACGTGGACACACACACACACACACACACACACACACACACACACACACACGGGGGCACAACAAGCATGGTGTGTTGGAGGACCCAGGAGGAACTTGTCTATTGGCTGGGCCAAGTCCTGCGGGACCTCTCTGCCTCTGGTCTGTTCTCCCTCTGACAGAAGGCTGGCAGAGGCTGCTTCCCCAAGTCCCTCCCTGATTAAAATCCTCTGCCGGCGCCTGTTGCTTCCAGGCGACAGTCCAGGCTCTTTAGCTGCCACCCCCACCCCACCCAGACCTGTCACAGGGAATCCCACCCACTCTCCAGTCATCTCCAGCTCTCCCCACAGTCTCCACCGAGTCTGGCTGTCTGGGGGCGTGGGCCCCATCCCGCCCAGACCGGGCCAGCTCCTCTTTCTCAATCATGCCCCAGGGCGCGCGTCCTCTGGCTATCCATGACACAGGCCCCTGCACCCCAGCATTTGTCACGACCGAAGCATTTCCTTTCCCAGCAAACATGCCTCTGCGTCTTGTCCACGCAGGCCCCGGGTCCCCTGGGACTCGAGTGCTCTCAGTCCCAGGCCCCGGCGTGAGCACCCCTGTCCTGCTGACCCGCAGCAATGACTCACAAGCCCGGCCCCTCGCCTCCAGGACCCATCTTTCTTTTTCATATGAAAACACCTCAGCTTGCTGCGGGTTCTGTGGGGTGCTTGGGGGGGTGCGTACCATCCCCTGGCTCTCTCTGACTTTGATAACCTGGGCCCACTGAGTCCTCGTCCCTCCCTGTGGCCAGCCCCTCCTCTCCACCCTTTCCCGCGTCAGCTCCAGGAACAGGCCCCTTCCCCCGACTTATTCAGAACATCCCGAGCACAGGGCAGTTGTCTATCGAGATATCTTTTTTCTCCTTTCTTGATGAATTTACAAAATATTCACATGGGCAAAAACACATAAATAAACCATCACTTAAGAAG